GAAATTATCTGCGCTGGGGTCAGGAAGGCGAGTAGGAACGAGTGGTTTGATACTCTGGAGTATATAATTACATCTAACCTCGATGAGGACGATAAAAAGGATCTGCTGATGGCCCTAGCCTGTTCCAACTCGTCTGAGATTCTGATGACATACTTAACCTTAACTTTCGAGCCAGGCTATCCGATTGATTTCAAGACCGGCGTGAAAAACGTGTTGTCCAAATATCCGGCTGGTGTCGAGCTCGTTTCGAAGTTCCTATCCAAAGAAGACAAACGCATCAGGCAAATGTAACCAACTTCGTACCTTTCTTTCTTTTCACCGTGGTCATCGTTACGTTTACTTAAAGTTGTGTGAGTCGTAAGATCTCCAAAAGTTTAAAAGAGGTGATAAGAAGCTATGTCCAATATGTGAACTGATAAACTTTTAGGAAGGTTTACAAAATTGTTGACATGTTTTTTTAAGTCAATCAACTTTTTACGTATAACATATGGTTTTGGCACTTTTTGATACAATTGTACTTGACTTTTGGAAGTGTTTACATTCTCCACAAGTCTTACAATGTCTAATTTTGCTCACTTTTTATGGTTCATCTTAAATAATATTCTCGAAGTTCGTATTATTTCAAATTTAAAATATTCTCGAAACACGTGTTAACAATTATACAAAATTACAACATTCTCTCATTATTACACCTATATTTGTTTATGAATGAAATAAACATTTTTCCATTCAACATAATAATTCATGATGCGACAACTTTTTTAACAGTCTCGTAAAATTTCTAAACTTTCGCACAGTGTTCTATCAATGTAATATTTAATGGTTGTTAAAATCTGGATGCTATGTCACTATCTTTAGTTAAGGATTCATACAACCTTAAAAGAAAAATGGAAACAATGCTAGATAGTTATGGCATGAGAGTGTGAATCTGTCTAATATAACTGATGTAATTTTTTCATGATTTCAGACCGAATTTGTATCCCAAAATGATACGAATCGCCGAAGCGTTGGGTAGAACAATTACGAATGAGCAACAGTTTCTTAATGTACGTTCGACGATCTACGACGACGAATAGGCGGTCTTCCTAAAAACAGATCTCGTTATATGTCGTTTTGTCTAATGTATCATGGTAGTACATGTAGCCATGGACACATCAATATCTCTTTCACTTGCAATGACAGAAGAAATATTTCTTATGCTATACAGGGTGTCACAGAATTGGTGGTACATTTTTTAATGGGAGTTTCCTGAGGTGTGGAAACCAAATCTTGAAAAGCATTCAGCAGCATATTCTGATACCGTTTACATTGCATGAAAAACAGTATTTCTGTTGTCCCAAATGAACGAGATATTTAGTTGACTACACTTAAGTAGACCACCCTTTAGAATTGTATGGTACAGATTGCGAGGCCGTTGCCAAGTGGTCACGGTTTAAAGTTTAATTGATGCAATGATTGATACACTAATTTGTACAACGTTTCATCTTTTGATTAATGAAACAAATAATATAGTGTTTTATTATTTTGACCAATCTTGTGTTTAACATTGACATTGAGTCTACCCCTTTAGAAGAATGTCGATATCAGCCATTTAGCAAATTTTACGACCTAGCTGTGTCCTCCGATTATACTGTACAATTCATCTTTTAATGATAGAAGCAAGACATAAACACCTGTCACTTTGTGATTAACGAATAGTTTTGAAATTGAAATCGAAATGTTTAGAATTGTTTGTTTGGTTTCAGTTGAGCAAATTTTGCCATAATAACAAACTGATGCAACAATTGGAAATTGCTACGAGAAAGGCAACAGCGAACCTGATATGGATTAACAAGTACAAGTCAACTGTAGATAAGTGGTTGAGTGCTAACAGTCGTTTATTCAAGAGCTCTGATAGTGGAGGTAATATTGCCAGCTCGATGGTCACCGCGTCAGTTTCTCATTGTTCATCATTCGATTGTACTAAGGAGGAGTTATAATAAAATGGAAGCATTAGAGCGTAGTTTTAATGAAATAGGAACAAGCGAAAGAACACATGAAGTATTTCAGAATTAAGAGTTTTAGAATGAATATACCAAGAATGTACTTAAGCGAATCGCAAATACGCGACAGAAACACATGGGCTCCAAACGTGCCAATAGGTTTTATGAAATACGTAGACAGTGAAAATAAATATTTTTATATTCTCTCGGTGAACGTATGTACGATAAAAAAATAATAAAAGGAACTGTGATACAATAAAATAGAGGAAATGTAAGCTAAACAATGGAGAAGATAATAAAACAAATTTCTTTTATAGTAAAATATAACTTTATTCGAATGACATGTCAATTCATACGTCTCTGATGCAATTTAATCAAGATATATACAAATTTCATTCATAAGCAAAAATATACAGTGTATTTTACTTATACAGTGTGTAAACCTACAGGTGGGCAATATTTTAAGGATTTGTTCTATGGTAAAAAAAAAGACGAAAATCGAGAGAGAGAAAATTGCGTTTGGGGCTTCGTTAATTAGTTATTAACGTTTAAATATTTGGCGTTTCTGCCCCTGAAATAGAGCAATCCGACTTGCACCGGCGGGTATTTTACCGTACGCGCAGCTGATTGTCGTCGGTCAATGTATGTCGATAACGATGAACAGAACCGTACTTATAAATTGTGGGCTTACCTCGGGTGACGAGTGGAAAACGCCAATTATTTTAAATGATGTGCCTAGCATTCAACCTGATTACTCGCTACATCCACAAGAACACATCGAAACACGCTGATTAATAGACTACAAACTACATACTCGTTGAATGCATGAAACGATACATGAAGAAGATACAAAAGAGTGAATCGGTGCATCCTCCACACACACACATCATCTATAGACACG